CTATGGAGGATCTTCGCTGGATGGTGAGTTTGAAGCCCCTAGGAACGCATTAATCGTGTTTTAATGCGTTTCTATGGGCTTTTTAAAATCGCATGACGTTTTCGTTTTACAGCGATTTTCATAGAACGAATTAATGTCGTCATGCGAGGTACCACTGTATAGAAAAGTGAATTTGGAGGGGGCCTCCAAGGCCATAAACTCCAACCCCTTGCTTAATGCGGGAATACAATCAAAGCATATCTGCCAGGTGATTATCTAAGTTTTTCTTGAATGCCTCTAGTGTTGGAACATTCACCAACTCCCGAAGTACAGTGGGGTCTCGACTTACGAACGACCCTACTTGTGAACAATTCAACTTACGAACCCGCCCTATAGGGGAAATAAGGACTCGATATACGAACTTCCCTTGAGTTATGAACAGGAAAAAAAAGTGCCCCCTCCCTCCCCTTAGAGGCTTCTGGAGGGGAAAAAAGGGTCAGAAACTTAAAAATAAATGAAAGAAAGTCACTTACCAGGCCTTGGTAGCCCCCAAACAGCAGGAAAAAGAGCAGGAAACAGCTAAAAGCCCACACCAGAAGGGAGTCTGGCAGCCATTTTGTGCTTTTCCCCGCTCCTGCCCCCTCCTGTCCCCACCTATCAGCTGATCAGCTGGCTCTGAAGAGGCTTGAGGAGGCTTGCTCAGCACCTAAAAAGCCTGCCTGTGTGTCTTTGTGCTGAAAAAATCAGCACAACATGCTTTAAAACATGATTTAAAATTGGTTTCGTTGAAAAAAAAGATTTCTACAGTGCTTTGCAAACTGTTCCCTGCCTTCCTCGTTTCCTGAACCTAAGGCAAAAAAAGAAAAAATATCCCCCTCTAGTGGCAGAAGACGGAATAGCAGCTTCCCATTAGTTTCTATGGACGGAAAAGAGCAGATACAGATTAAAGGGTTTCCAATGCATTCCTATGGGAAATGCAGATTCGACCTAAGAACTTTTTGACCTAAGAACCACCTTCCAATACGGATTAAGTTCGTAAGTCGAGACCCCACTGTAACTGGTTCCACAGTTGTACTGCTCTAATAGTTAGGAAGTTTTTCCTGATATTCAACTGGAATCTTGCTTCCTTTAACTTGTGCCCATTGTTGTGTGTCCTGCACTCTGGGATTTCCAATTTGTTAGCATCCTTCTTGAAGTGTGGTGTCCAGAACTAGACACAATACAGTACTCAAGGTGAGGCCTAACCAGTGCTGAATAGAGGGGGACTAGCTCCTCACAGGATCTGGAAACTATACTTCTATTAATGCATCTTAAAATAGCATTTGTCTTTTTTGTAGCCACATCACACTGTTGGCTCATATTTAGCTTGTGGTCTACGACAATTCCAAGATCCTTCTCGCTCATAGTTTTGCTGAGCCAGGTCTCCCCCATCTTGTAACTGTGCAATTTGTTTCTCTTTCTGAGGTGCAGTACATTGCACTTAGCTCTGTTGAATTTCATTCTGTTGTTTTTGGCCCAGTGCTCCATCCTATCAAGGTCATTTTGAATTTTGTTTCTATCTTCTAGGGTATTAGCTATTCTGCCCAATTTGGCATCATCTGCAAATTTGACAAGCATTCCCTGCACTCCTTCATCCAAGTCTTTAATAAAAATACTGAAGACGCCTGGGCCCAGGATTGAGTCTTGGGGTACCCCACTTGCTACCTCCTCCCAGTTAGAGAATCTGTGTATGATTCTGTAGCCAATTGTGTATCCACCTGACACTTGATCTATCCAGCCCACACCTAGTTAGCTTGTTAATCAGGATATCATGGGGCACTTTGTCAAAAGCTTTGCTGAAGTCAAGATATACTACATCTACAGCATTCCCTCTGTCTATCAGGGAGGTGACCTGATAAAAAAAACGAGATCAAATTAGTTTGACAGGATTTGTTCTTGACAAATCTGTGTTGGCTTCTATTTATTACTGCCTTGTTTTCTAGGTGCTTGCACAATGACGGCTTTATGATCTGTTCCAGAATTTTGCCTGGGATTGATATCAGGCTGTCTGGTCTTTAGTTCCCAGGTTCCTCTTTTTTGCCCTTTTTGACGATAGGGACAACATTAGCCGTCCTCCAGTCCTTCGGCACCTCTGCTGTTTCCCATGATTTCAAGAAAATAATGGATAGCGGTTCTGAGAGTTCTTCAGCCAGTTCCTTCAGTACTCTTAGATGCAGTTCATCGGGCCCTGGAGATTTGAACTTGTTCAAGGTGGTAATGTATTCCATGACTATTTGTTTATCAATTTCCAGCTGCAATCCTGTCCCCCCCACTTGCACTTCCAATTTGTTTGTAAGTTCATAGTCTGTCTTATGGGAAGAGACTGAACTAAAATAGGAGTTGAGAACCTCTGTTCTGTCCTCTGTTATTATTTTTCCATCTTCATTGCGGAGCTGTGCCACTATGTCTTTTGTTTGTCTTTTGCTACCTACATACCTGAATAATGCTTTTTATTGCTTTTAGCATCTCTAGCTAACCTCAGTTCATTCTCAGCTTTTGCCCCCCTAATGCCATCCCTGTATTTCCTTGCTACTCATCTGTACCCATCCTTGGTGGCCTGGCCTTCTTTCCACTTCCTGTACATGTCTTTTTGGGTTTTTAGGTCCTCCCTGAGCTTTTTGTGAAGCCACATGGGCCTGTTTTGCCGCCTCCCCCATTTTTTCTTGTTGGACTGTTTGTAGTTCTGCCTTTACAATTTCTTTTTTTAGAAGTTCCCACCCTTCTTGGACTCCTTTTCTTGTTAGGATCTCCTGCCATGGGACCTTACTTATCTTTGTTCTGAGATTATTTTAAAATGGCCTTTTAAAAAATCCAGCAGAAGTGTACGATTCCACTCTGCTTCTGTTTCCTTTGAAATCAAGAATTCTAGAAGGACATGGTCACTCTCGCCTAGAGTTCCCCTTACTGCCACTTCCCTCACCAAGTCATCTCTGTTGGTCCGAATCAAGTCAAGGATAGCAAATGCTCTAGTTTTTTTCTCCACTTTTTGTAGGAGAAAATTATTAACACAAGCCAGGAATTTCTTGGAAGGGCCATACTTGGCACAATATATCTCCCAACATATATCTGGATAATTGAAATCTCCCATCACTACTATGTCATGTCTCTTTGAAAACCCTGCAATTTGTTTTTCAAAAGTTTCATCTGCTTCCTCTACTTGATTGGGTGGTTGGTAGTAGATTCCAACTACCAAGTTCCGTTTGTTTTTTGCCCCAACTAGATTGATCCAGATGCTCTCGATGGGACAGCCAATCTCCTCCTCCTGTATTTCTGTGCAGGAATACGTTTATTGCATATACTGCAACTCCACGTCCCGTTTTATGCTCTCTGTTCTTTTTGATCAGTTTATATCGTTAATTCCTGTATTCCAGTCATGGGAGTCATCCCATCAAGTTTGAGTTCTTTTTTGTTTCCCATATT